AGGGCAGTTAGGAGCAGGGGTCCCAGGAGGGGACAGTCAGGGGACAAGGAGCGGGGGGACGGTTGAGGGTTCTAAGGGGGGCGGGAAGTGGGAGGGGCAGGGGGCGGGGCTAGGGAGGGGCTCCTCCCGTCCTCTTTTTTGCTTTCTGAAATATGGTAACCCTATTTCTAGCTGGTGGGCATTATAAGTGTCCATGAGTTCTCGAGGTTGCATGCTGCTTTGAGAATAGTGAAGCAGTTTGCCTGACTAAAGCCACTATAGTGCTGATTGGATTTAGGTTCAACAGGTTGTTCTCATTCAAGAACTAGAATGTTTGATGTTAAAAGGAATATTAAGCTGGGTGTCATCTGCATGCACTAACTTAATAAAAATATCCTTTAAAAAGTTTTGCTGAAACACTGTCAGTGACTGGAATGACAGATACAAATAAGTCATGTCTATGAATAAAGCTCTTCATTTTTGGTTTTTATTTTGTTTACAATTTCTGGGAATTAATCTGTGTTCCTTATAAAAACTTATAAATGGGTGAAAATCGGTGCGAAAAATTAAATTCACAGTTTTCTGGGTTAATATAGGGGGAATGGGAGGACAGAAAAAAAAGAAACAAATAGGGAAAAGTAAGAGTACTGAAGGTAAAAGCAATTTAATGCTGTGGTTCATTTAATGAACAGTGTTTAGCTGCTTAATACATAAGTTCAGTACTGCCTAGTGGCACTATCAGAGCCTTAAGATACTGTAACAAACATAATTTAATGTGAATTAAATTGAGCTCAAAACCACTACTCACCACTTCTACCACATGTAATGTAGAGGATGTCTTAGTATAATTACTATTTTCATGTATTTGAGTGGTTCAATGTTAGGGTGAAAATCAGTTTAAAAAAAAATAACAACTTTTGTAAAACTTGGGGAGTGTTTTGGTAAAAACCGAAAACAGTGGGTCTTGTCTATGATAAATTGGATGATTGATCTGTAGATTTCACATAAGTGTTATGATGCTTGTTTTCAGTGGAAAAAAATTAGAAAGTTAATGACCACTGATTATTCCTGCTTTTTCAGTATCAAAGAATCCTTTATTACAGTTGAAGCAAGCAACAGTGAAAACTAAGAAAAAAAAACAGGAAAAAAAAATCAAGTCAGTCCCGTGAAAAAGATTCAAAGTCCTTTGAAAAACAAACTCTTTGGTAGCCCTGCAAAAAACATGGTGGCTGCTTCTGGAAGCCCACAGAAACTAATAGATGGTTTCTTAAATCAGGAAGGTACAGCCACTGGTAAATCTCAGGTAATTTTAACAAAACTAAAAGTTTTCAGTAAATTATCTTTTTATTTTAATGACTGTTCTTTAGAATCAGTCTTTGATCACAGTTGTTATTGTAGCTGCTTAATGTACTAAGTAGGACTTGCGTTGCTTTTCTTGCCTCTCGTATTTGTTTTTCAAAGTATTAAGACTTGTTTTTCAGTTTTTTGCTCAGAAAACATAGCTGTTACATATTTGAAAATCAGTCTGACAAACATTGAAGCATATGAACAATATCAATTATTTTTTTTCTGAATAGGTGGAACCAGTTCCATCCACCTCAAATACTTCAGGCCCATCAGCTTTGCAGACAGCACAGTCTGGTTCAATTAGATCACAGGTACCAAATCTGGCTGGAGCTGTTGAATTCAGCGATGTAAAGACCTTGCTCAAAGAATGGATTACAACTATTTCAGGTAAATTGTAATTCAGATCATTTGGTTTTCAGATATACCCATGGTGATTCTGCATACATCACAAAGAAAACCATATGGGAAAAACTGAATTTCTATACCTTATCTTTTCTGTGCTCCTGCTTCTCTTGCTGGTGTCTTTTCCAATTGACATGGTTTCTCTCTTCCTCACAACCTTGGGATAATTGGAGTACTTAGGTAATGGCACCACAGCAACCACACACCACACAACAAAAACACTAACCCAGGAACCTATCCTTATAACAAAGCCTATTGCCAACTCTGTCCACATATGTATTCAAGGGACACCATCATAGGACCTAATCTCGTCAGCCACACCATCAGAGGCTCGTTCACCTGCACATCTACCAATGTGATATGTGCCAGCAGTGCCCCTCTGCCAGGTACATTGGCCAAACCGGACAGTCTCTAAGCAAAAGAATAAATGGACACAAATCAGACGTCAAGAATTATAACATTCAAAAACCAGTCGGAGAACACTTCAACCTCCCTGGTCACTCAATTACAGACCTCAAAGTCGCAATACTCCAACAAAAAAACTTCAAAAACAGACTCCAACGAGAAACTGCAGAATTGGAATTAATTTGCAAACTGGACACCATTAAATTACGCTTGAATAAAGACTGGAAGTGGTTGGGTCATTACACAAAGTAAAACTATTTCCCCATGGTAATTTTTCCCCCTACTGTTACTCACACCTTCTTGTCAACTGTTTGGCCATCTTAATTATCACTACAAAAGTTTTTTTTTTTCCCTCCTGCTGATAAAAGCCCACCTTAATTGATTAGTATAGTTATAGCTGGTATGGCAACACCCATTTTTTCATGGTGGGTGTGTGTGTGTACTATATTTTCCACAACATGCATCCGATGAAGTGGGTTTCAGCCCACGAAAGCTTATGCCCAAATAAATTTGTTAGTCTCTAAGGTGCCACAATTTCTCCTCGTTCCTCTTCTATAGAAAGCAATTTTCATCAGAAAGATGAACTGGAAGGTTTTTTAATACGTATTAGAATTCTTTTATAAGATTACAGAAGAACAAAAGTATAAAACAATTGTTAAAACCTGAAGGTAGCATTGTACTTTAACATAATTTGAGACAATTATTGCCTCCTTGATATCCTGAAAAATCTGAACTGCAGTTTTTTTTGGTCTGACATTGCAAGACATCACTGCCTTTATTACCAACGTTTTGAAACAGCTATTCCATTATAAATGCATATGTCTGTTCCCTTTCTTTAATAGCTGTGCTGTCACTTGTTCTTGCGGGGGAAAAAACAGGTCCGCTGTCCAGATTTCTCAGGATCATGCAGTCCTTGCATATGCAAAACTTCAGATAACTTCAGTGGGAGATGTGGAAATGCAAGGGCTGCAAAATCAGGCCCTGAAATACTAGTCTCTGCAGAATTTCTTTGATTCCAAGTATACTTGAAGAAAAGTCCCCTACTGTATCTATATTTTTCTTACAGATCCCATGGAGGAAGACATTCTACAGGTTGTGAAGTACTGTACTGATCTGATAGAAGAAAAGGACTTGGAAAAGTTAGATCTGGTCATCAAGTACATGAAAAGGTAGCTTAATTTCATATATATATATATATATATATATATATATATATAACTTTAGTATTTTGTGCTAAAGTTGATGTACTAGATATGCTAATGCAAGGGCATAAACTTAACAGTCATAACATTTATTAATATGATTTTAAAGAAAAATAAAATCAGACTATGTAAAAGAAGGTTCCTAATGTTTGGAAAGTTGAGCAAGTGAAAATAGCTGCAGCAGTTTTGCAACCTTAATAGTAGCATTAGCTAAAAAGTGGAATGCTTTTTGGACAAAGGATGGGCTTCTTTCTGAGTGATTACACATGTCCGTTCCACTTCAGAGGTGTGCATGCCCAGTGCACCAGAGTCAGAGACTTTTCCCATAGTGGTATCTGTCAGGTCACACATGCGGCCTCTGCTGCCTCGTGCTGTTGCTTGTTAGTATAAAGGGCAGAGCCATCCCTGATCCTCTTCAGTTCCTTCTTATCACCCTTGGTTTGTAGTCAGTGTATTAGCTTGCTTCTGCAAGTATTGTCCTTTTCAGTTGTGGGGAAATAGAACAGGGGGGCCTTCTTTTTAATAGCCAAAGCTGTGAATCTGAAGGCCCCGAAATAAACCCTCCAACAGAGATCTGTTATGCTGACTACCCTTACACAGAACAGTACAGGCCTGAGCCTGAGCAAGATTGAACAACACAGTTCTCTGCCAAACTTGGTCAAGGGTAATGGCCGGGGGGGGGAACACAGAACAATGCTAAAGGCTGCAACAAGAAACTGCTTTAGCAATATAATAACCGCAAGTTTATGAAACCGCTCGAAAAATAGAATATCCGCTTACATTAAGAAATTGTTTTTGCAAAGAGCTGATCATTCTTGCAATTGCAGCTATCTGCAACATTTTCCAATCATAGGTCTTCTTTTGGCGTCCCATGATAATCCCCCCTTAACCATAAAACCATGGAAAATAACATGTGCCTTGCCGAGAAATGTACCCTAATGGGTGCCAAGTACCACCCCTGGGGAAAGCCACCAAGCGCCCTTCTACCCAAATAAACACCCAATTCTCGGAAAATAATGAGGAAGGTACGAGGAAGGGGGGCTGACCCCAATCCCAATTTCTTAATTCATGACGTATTGTTTGTACTTTGCTTGCGGTTTGACAAAATATAAGCCTTCTGCGAGCGGCCCTCAGGGTGTCAGTTTTCGAACTGCACCCCAAACGCGTTTGGTACGTATTGCAATAAAGGCCTCAGCCTCTGAGTCTGTAAACTAAAATCAGTGCGTGGGTGATTCTTTCCACGACATAGTGTATGTAGTTTGGTTCTCTTGTACATAGTTTGGTACTCGTTCATACTTAGGTTCGTTTATGTTACATTTCTTAGTTGTTTTGTACTTTGGTGAACTGTTGCTTCCTGATTCTTCTGGTTCTTCTTCGAGTGATTGTTCACGTCCATTACACATTAGGTGTACGCGCGCCGCGTGCACGGACGTCGGAAACTTTTTCCCTTAGCGGCTCCCGTCGGGCCGGCAGGGCCCCTCCCTCTCGCCAGAGCGGCGCCCCGCTCTAGGGTATATATATCCCTGACGACCCGACCCCTCCAGTTCCTTCTTACTGTCCGTGGCGGCGTTGGAACAACTCTGTCTCTCGTCTGAGAGTGTCCCTTAGCATAGTCATTAGTGTTATTTAGCAAACAGTTATCAGT